CATCTTTCCTTTTTGGCTATGTAAAACACTCGTTGATCTTTAGCACAATGTCGACGGGATTAAATTCCATGTCTGGCGTAATCTATGAAGACATGATCAAGCCGTGTCTCCGTAAGCCGATCTCTAACGTTGGCGCGAGTCGTATAATGAAAGCCATAGTTGTGATAATAGGAGTCATTTGCGTGAGTCTCGTATTCATGGTGGAAAAACTGAGTGGTTTGATTCAGGTAAGAAATAAACGTAATCGTACACGAACGTTCGGTAACGAGATACCGGATCATTTGCGTAAATTAATTCTCGATTAATCTGTGCGAATAAAGAGTGTGTTGAGTGATCTTTTCAGGCTGGTAAAAGTTTATCAGGAATAACTGCCGGGCCCTTACTTGGAATGTTCACATTGGGCATGCTGTTCCCAATGGCCAATTCTATGGTAAGAGGATTATTGTAGAGAAATCGACAGAAATACATTGTTTTTAGGTTTATTTCATTAATAGGACATCAACGTTCTATATGCGTATTGTATCACTTATATCTAAACAATATCCATATTGTCTTCTAATACTTTATTTCGAAGATATGTTTATTTATATAAATTTAAATCTTAATGTAATATCAGGATAATCGCAGAATTTTCGATGGTTAATTTCAATGACAGATTTACAACATAAGTGAATCGTGGAATTTATTAAAATTAAACCGATCTTAAGAAATCCTGCATTCGCTATGGGATCATCCCAACTTAATTTTTTTATTCGAATAGGGAGCACTCGTCGGTGCGGTGGTTAGTCTGAACTTAGTCGCTTGGATCTCGTTCGGCACACAAGCAGCGATCTCTGACGGATCAATTTATTTCCCGGTAAAACCGGTATCGGTACATGGATGCACCGAATCGTTGAGGAGCACAGCTGGAAACCTCACGACAATCGTCGAGACCGCTGTCAGGTACATTTATTAAATCGTTCTCATATATAAAAACCGCGTAATGACGCTTCCCATATATCATATCGTATTAAAAACATCTTAATTTTTTTCTTCAGGGAACAGCCTTTCTTCCTGTACAGAATGTCTTATCTCTGGTACACGTGGGTGGGTTTTCTAATTACAATTCTAGTGGGCCTGCTGGTCTCGTGGTTTACGGGCCCGTCTAAGTACAGTCGTGCGGATAAGAAATTATTTACACCCATTATACACGGTTTTCTACGTTCGAGAGATCCTCAAAAAGTGGTGAGTATAATTTCACGATCCTCAATCGTGGAAGAAATCTTATCACGTTATTTTTCTTTTTTCCTTTCTTTTTATAGAATGAGACTGAGCTCAAAATGACAAACGATATGAACGATATAACGATGCAAACTTCTTCAAAATGTTAGCCATTATTCCTATTTTAATTCAATTGCAGTTGAGCTAGGCAAAATGTATATAATCGTATATGTCAAATTTGTATTCATATATTCGACTTAGTCCCAATATCTCATAAAATTATATTATAAGTTACGACTCGTAATCGTTTGACGACATAGATGATGCCATTGTATTACGCGTAATGATTTAAACATAGTGTATCACCATCGATCAATCACAATATATAGGGGACTAACTTCAATTTCGTTATGCATGCATAAATTAATTCTATGTAAATCATTCTCTCAGGCAGTGATTCAAAGATGTTGATTCGGTTTTATATGCTATGTATTGTATATCGCCTATTTCACGAAATTTAATTAGGCCAACGTAATGTACAAAGAGAAGAATGTTAATCTAATATTTGCATGTTTACTTGTATATTGAAGAATAATTTTTGCGTAATCAAATACCGACTTATGACATAAGATTTTTAGGCAATGGATAACGCATCTATGTTGTAAAATCTACCAAAATATTCGGCGTCTAAGCGTAAATATAATGATTAATATAAATTAAGTCGATTTACCTTTATAGATAATCACACTTGCATATTTTATATATAATTATATATTATACATACATTAATATGTATCTAGCACTAAAACCTCCTACACCATAATATCTTGTTCATACAAAACATTTTTGATTTATATAAAAAGGCTACTAATCGGTAGTTTTCAAGTTTGAATGAATGAAATCGAACCGATTATAATTGGTAGATTTCGCTGCAAGCGTCTATACATATTTACAATGATTATAACGTACTTGATTTGCCAATCTGACGATATACTTATTACTAATTTTCACAGCACAATTCATATTTATATTGTATGTAACAATACAGATAGCAATCTAGTATGATGTACCATTTCATAAAAATGGATATAGAACGGATAGAAGCATTTTAAAGTCTTTATATGATATTTTCCTATACCAAATATCATATGATCGTCAAAAAAAGAGGATACTTTAAGATGTAAGCGGCGACATACCAATCGTCCTCGGATCTTGTTGACCTGGCTGAGTTGGTGGACCTGGCTGTTGCGGACCGGCCTCCAGATTCTTAAGAAGCAAGTTCAACCAATGCTTAGTTGAGGCATCTTCTTGTAAACATGTCGCAAATGTGTTATCTCTCAGCTGATCTGGTAAGCACTGCCTTAGAGCTAACAGTGCTCTGTAAAATTAATCGTCGTTAAAATTTTTCGGGATTTCTAAGAATGTATCGCGCATATATTCTGATACTCACCTTGGATTATCAGAGAGTCTCAAGTAACACCGTACTACATGTTTAAGCAATCGTGCGGAAGGATCTTTGGCTAAGGATAAAACCATTTTTCCTAATATCATGGCAACATGACTGAATCTGTCGTAAGTCTGACAGATATAGGAGAGGCCACTGTCATCTAACAGTATCTTCTGTAATATAAATGTCGCCACAGTCTTACTTAATTCCGAGCCGCTTTCCATAATCCGCAAACAAAGTGGGATAATCTCGGTAGTGAGAAGAAAGGTGATCACTTCTTGCTCATCGGTTTTGACCAGTGCACCAATCACGCCAAGGCTTGTCAAGCGAAGGTATTCAAATGGGCGTGTCTTGCTTACGGTATGCAGAAACGGATACAAGAACAATGGAACATGTGCCTGAAATCAAACATATGTGATATTTTATAAATATATACTTTTAGTTGTATATATATAGTACAACTCTGTTTATCGTTGTCCTAGGAAAAGACAGTTCCGATAATCGAATGATTCTGATAATAAAGTTTTAACTAATTCTTCTCTCTGTCAGTATTTATTTCCTATAATAGAAATTGACGTTCAAAAAACTGGAGTTAAGCAGTTGAGTTCTATTATCCGAAGTCACAGCACTACAGCGCCTTAGTTCAGATAATAGATTAACTATGAATTCGGATATTTGAATCTGAGCATGAACTTGTTTATACAAGTGGCAGATAAACGGAGTTCTACTGTACATACATTTGTTAAATAAAATTCTTCTCTTTATTCATAAAATAACAGATACAGCCAGTATAATAATAATAATTATAGGAGAGAATTTTATCTCCAGCTATTTAAAACTGTAAATCATATAGAATAATCCTACCTGTAAAAATACAGATCTTGTTTCTGGATGGCTGGCTACGCATTGCAGCAGTGCCAAGGCATTACAAACCCGATTACTCTGATAAGCGGTAAGAGTCGCAGGGTTGATTGCCGGATAAATGTTAATGATCTCCTGAAGGAGAGAAGCTGTAGTGCCAAACGAGTGCCACAACATAGGTGCTAGATCGGGCACTACCTCACGCTTCTTACTCAACTCCAGAAGAGCATTCTCCCTTGTCTCTGGATTCGATAACTCGATTATCCATGTGTATACCTTCTCACGATCGACAGTGGATTGCAGGGCGGCTGGGCTCTGCTGAGTGCTCATGTCGTAACCCTGGCTGTTGTTTCGATTCGTAGCACTGATATATCGCGATCTGCACAACCGTTCATAATTATAAGCGAGTTTTTTAATTTATCAATCGATCAATTATGCTGTATGCGCAAGAGCAGAGTTGCATTTGCGCATAATGCAATTAGAAATTTAAAAAAAACTTGCCTTATATCCACGATCAATCTCCTTGTTTTACGTTCACTTATTATGTATCCAAGCTTGGAATTCTAACCTCTCTTTCTACATAGATCGAGACACATTCGCACGTATAGAGTTCGATTAATATGCACGATTTTTCGTAGCGTCTTCGTGTGCTTCTTGTATAGGATTAGCCAATCCTCAATGCATCGTGATGCTCACTAAGCCTGATGAAACTCAGTATAATCTCGCCAAATTTCCAGAGTCGGCAGCAGCATGTCGGAAGTACGTTTTCTATATTTCTCCCAACTCCGAACTCGCCGCACAGTGCGACATCTGAACATAACCTCCTTTCGCGGGTAACGACCTAACGACTGATGCGGGAGACGCGGGTTCGCTATTGTCCTGTACCTACACTAATGTAATATACTTTAAAAGTCGCAATACATTGCTATATGTATGTACATGAAGCTATTTAAGACCGTAGTCCGATTCATGATGACACGCTCATAATATTTGTCTTTGTTTAACATTTGACAAACAACAAGGATAAAATGATTTATAAGCGTTGCAGCACGTGAATCGGACCGCGATCCAGCTGCCCTATTGAATAAGAATATCAACCTATCAGAAATTGTGTATTCCACAATATATGATTTCTGATAGATTGAAATTCTTATTCTCTATTCTGTTCTCTGTTCCTTTTATTATATGCGGAGCCCCTAATTCTTAATGACAGTCGATATCGTTACAGTGTCATTGCACAGATATTTTAGCTGTGTTCCAAAATTTACTGCCAGTAGTGGAAATCTATAGTGCACGTAACGTAAACTATAGATTTTCAATATGCTAGTAAATTTTGGAATATAGCCTTTATATGATGAAAAAGCTGCTAATGATATCGACGTTATCGTTAAAAATTACAGGATAGGGCCCCAGAAGATATATTGCAAGCATTTGAACAATGAAAGGTCAAAATGTGGAACTCAATGTCAAAATGTTGTCACGTTATTTGGCAGAAAATAAATATTAGGTATTTTATCGATAAAAGGTTCATATTATATTTCCCCTCACTTTGGCAGCTTTATGTCTATCAGTCTGTAGCGTTTATTATTCTGACTGGAGCAGCATTGGAGTGCATTTCAATTCAAGTATAATCCATATAGGATGTCTTCCATTTAGTGATACAGTCGACAAAATATCGTTCCATCTTTCTTGGTTACTCATGGAATACATAGAAAGATGGAATAATATTTGTGTGTCAATTTGTGTGAAGGCATTTATGATGTATCATTTTATTGTTGTTCACCGAATAAGAAGGATACATCATGCAACATATCATGCGTGGAATGAAACGTATCCATGTTATCGCTAACAGCATTTATATAAATAATTATTTTTAATTTCTTAACATTTAGATCGGAAACTCTCTTCGCCCTCTTTTTAAATAGAATTAAATAGAAACTTTCATCAATCACGAATCAGCCAAATCTCGATCAGTATTATATCCATTAATCTCAATAATCGAAATTTGGTAAAATGTATAATTGTTATCTGCAGTGACATATTTATCAACGGAAAGTATTGCGCGCATCAATTGTTCAGCAAAATAATTTAATTGACATTTGATAAGTTAGATATGGAATTATTCCATACAAAAGATTATATTGTTATTAGTTTGAAAAGAGATAATTAGTTATACTTATGATTAATCAGTTATACTTATTGGTATAACTATAATGTTAATTAATTTAATGTGCATTGATATCAAAATAAATCGTTACTGATTAAAAAGTAACTTTTAGTAATTATTTTGGAGTACATGAAATGCTTTGATGTACATAAAATGCAAGCGTGAAGGTCACTTTGAATTTTACTTTTCAAGATTTTGAATTAATTATTCAGATGTCACCCATTCTGCAAATATAGAACTCTATTTCTCTTTGTAACTATATTATATTTTTTTCAATTTGGTTTCAGCACAGTATGCAAAAGAATAAAGTTCGTTATTATTCGTTATATTCACTTTGTTATTAATTAAATGCATATTTAATGAACTTTCTCGTTTATATATGTTACTCAACGCTAATATAAACAGTACTTTTCTATATTCACAAAGTAAGTTGATCTCAATCGTTTATATTATCTGCAGTAGCAAAAAACAGTTTTAAATTACAAGGCTGATTTAAAAAATAAGAGAAGGAATATATGTTTTTTTTTAGTAAATAAAAAGACAGATAGAGGAAAAAATTTTTTTGTATTTACAAAAATTGCAGTAATAAGACTATTAAATGCATATATATATTTATACTTAACTGTAATGCAATGTAACTGTACGTGCAATTCTTTAATTAAAATTAATATATTATAGTTTGTTTTTTTAATTATTAATATAGAAAGAAAAGTTTAAACTTTTATTATGTATATTTATGTTATAAAAAAGAATTTCTAAAATTGTGCAATAACTGTTGTTCGTTAATCTGATATATCATTTAAGTTATCTTGTAAAAAATTAGATTAAATTGAATAATAACGAAAACATGCATGAGAAAGATGTAATTGCTCTGTAATGAAAACTAATTATAAAATGGACATCAGGCTTTTTTGTAATAATAAAAAGTTATTAATAAGTTAGTTATTTTCAGAAAATTTGTAATAACGTTTTCATTATACTGAAAATCTTTATACGTGTATAATTAACAATTTAAGTTTAAAGTTAAATGTAAATAAAGAAAAGTATTATAAAAAGGCCAATTGTTTTGCTGTACTCGGGAAAATATTTAGTAGATATTGTTTTTTAAAGTTTTTTTTGAGGCGAGGAATTTTAATTAACAATGTTAGTTAAAATTACGTCATATAATGACGAACGCATAAAAAATAAAATTTTTTAATCGGGAAAGTGCGTGACGTCAGTCATTCGCAAATGAGTTGCTAATTATAAGTACATAGGTTTTTCTGTGGCTGAACTAGTGTACTTTTGGAACTTAAAGTGAGACAGGTATATGTTTGATATTTGTTGAAAATGAAAAAGAGAGTGCTGGTGCAGTCTAGTGCAGGAACAGACCACATATATCGATGATGTAATGTACACATGGATATTAAAAATATGAAATATTTTATAAAAATGCTGTATTTAATAGCAAAAATATTAACGGAAAGTTTTCGTATACTTGAAACAAATCGGTTTTCTCCTAGTGACTTACATATATAGCTGATTCGAACATGTTTGTACAAGCGCACGAAACTTTCAGTTGTCTGATATTTTTGCTATTAATCTTTGAGTGGGTAGGTAGATGGCCACAACTCATATTTTAGTTTTCTTTAAAATTATCCTGGAAGATGAAAATAAAAAATATTGAGATATCCAGAAGTCTGAAAGTTCATTATTTTTATATACTTCTATCTCATAAGGATATAACTAAATGTAAATTTATATATTTAATTATAATATAATATAATATAATATTATTAAAATTTATTATTATAATTATAAAATTAAAATTTTTGAGGTGTTCTGAGTGTGTATTCCCTTTATACCAACTCTTTAAACTTACAGATATTCCAAGATTAGAAATAGCAAATTAAGATAGTCTATATTTTAAATGTCAAAATATGATGTAACATACTGTGATCATATCTTTGATACAGATTTGTGGCATGGCGATTTGTATCAAATTCTGCTAATGATTGTGACTTCACGCGTTTTCCTGATTTCAACTTGCGAGTAGTCATACCTATTTTTTTTTTTCATAAATAATCATCTGATGTGTTTTTATATCCCAATTAAAATCACTATTATTGATAATATATTGTATATTGATTATTTTCCGGTTTATTTAGAAACATTATGGATTTAATCATTTCTAAAAAAAAGTAAGTAGAAATAAAATAAATTAAACAAAATAAGCACGTAGCGAAATAAGTGTTAAGTAGTTTATTATAAAAGTATTAAAAAATAAAGATATTAATTAATATAATTAAATACGCACGCCGCGAATGTACATCACTCACTTTTTGTTAATATATAATATAATATAAAATAGATTTTAATTAATATAATTAATTAAAATCCATATAATATAGATTTTAATTAATGTAATTAAATATGAACCACTTTTTGCATATTTTTAACAATGGAATATTTAAGGATTCGTAAAGAGTAATTTATTAGAAAGAGTTAATTAAAGAAGAAAGAAGATATGTTAAAGAAAAGAGAAAATTATATTTATTTTATAACAATTCATACTTTCTTGCCGCTGGGGTATAAAACATATGATTGTGCCAGGCTGTTATTGAGTTAAACTCGATTTTTATGTGTTTCTTTTAAACTAACAATATCGAATTTCTCGTCTCAAAAATTATAAGAAACGATGTCTTTTCTTAAGCACAGTAAAAACAAGCCTTTTCATAACGTCCCTCTTTTAAACCTTCAAAGAGATTATATAACATGTATGTCGCACGTGACTGTTTCAAAATGTATATTACAAAATATTATATTACACTGAAAGAAAAATATACCAAATTTTAATAAATATTTGTTTGACGTGCCAGTTGACTATTGATTAAATATTAATATGCATATTTACTTGATTTAACTATAATATTATATTTTTTTATTTAGCAAATATTTATTTTCCATAAATAAATGTTATATTAATACTATCCAAACAATTATTTATTGAGATTCAGTATATATATATATATATATATTTCTCTCAACGGAGAGATATTATTTAAATAAAATTTTCAGGTAGGGATTAAATTGGAAACTGTGAGGTTTGTTGCAACTCAACGTGCAGATAAAAATTGCAAAATTTATCGTTATGTTTACGCATAATCAATTAGTATATTTTTCCTTCTATTGCCTTTTCGATATATAGGTGTACATATTCATATTAAATTTGTATACATTTATATGAGATTTGACAAAGTTTAAATTTGTTATCAGTCGGCACACACGCGATACGCGGACTCGATGCGTCGTCTGGCGCGTCTAAGCACGCGCGTGCGATTCCATGTTTCAGGTTTCAGTATCGCTCGGTCTCTCGTCGGAGCGTGTCGCGGTATAACCTGTGCGGATCGACCGAGAGAAAGAGACGGTGGGAATTCGTTGCGTCGTGTTTCACGAAAATCGCTTTTCACGATTTCCGTATTCTCGGAATTGTGTGCAGCACGGTTTGCGAAGAATTTTGCACGTTCATCATCAATACTATCGGTGCAGACGATAAATGGGATACCTCCCGAATAATCGGATAATCATGTATGCATCGTTGTGACATGCGATATTCGTTGATTAATGATCAGCGTCGGTCGTATGCCAGAAACTTGATTCACAGCCGGATCTTTTTACGTAACTTTCTATCACTTTGATCATTGCAAC